ATTACCATTTATTATCAACAAGGCTCTGAATACCTCTACCCTAGAAAAAAACTGCTAGACTTCTGAGGCAGATATTAATAATACCTATTAAACATACACTGAACAACAATTTTATAAAGCCTTCAATTTAGTTCTTGAAGAATAGTGATCAATATGTGTACTGAGAACATTTATCAGTGGAAAATCAACTCGTCAGTGCTCTTTAGTGGACAAACCATGTAACGGAGACACTGTTTACACGAGCTCAGACACACTGTGTCTGTGGCTTTTCTGTGATCATCTATCATCAGTCAGGTTCTGATGAGGAGGATGACACATGGCATGAGAAACCCACCCAGTTTAGTGGCTCATGTACATGTTTGTTGGTCATATTCTACCTGTAGCATCCTGGCATAATGAAGTGATGTACTACACACTGGTACATTTGTCATTTGAATAGAATATGGAAAAATGACTTAAAAGGTCCAGTGTTCAACGATTAGGAGAAACATGGCAGGCAGGAAAGCGCCCCACAGCGTGTGTAATTATAAAAGGCTTATTCTAAGGTAATGCAAACATACCTATCAATATTAGAACAATGTAATAATTAACATAATACTCTATACTGCCAATAGCTCCAAAATGTTACACACTGGAAGCACTTGGTTCGTCATATAACCACGTTGACGGTTTTTGTGACCACTGTAGTTTCTACTACATAGTTCACAGCCCATTCTCATTCTTGGTTGTCACATACAGACGCAAGTGGTGTTCAGTTAGTTACAATTTGAAGTTTCACCACAACAGTCAGAACTTTAAAGATTCAGTTAGCTGTCATATAAAAAAAAGAAAAAGCAAATCCTCACATTTCAGCTGAGGCCAGAGACCGTTAAAGGAATAGTTCCCCATTTTGGGAAATACCCTTATTACTTTCTTATTGCAAGTTAGATGAGAAGATCCAAGGACTATCACTCTGACTCTCAGCAAGAAAGTGAATTTCCCAAAGTGTCAAACTAGTCCTTTAACTGTCACAGTGGGCATTAACAAATCCAACAAATAATGTTTCAGCTCATAGAGACATATCTCTGAGTCATCAAATGAAAAGATGAGTAAGAGGTTTTGTCAGAGTCACAGCAGGAACACTAACCAGCTCTGTTCTGATTGGAACAGGCCCGGTGCAGGGGAAAAGAAAATCATGGACATCGTCTCACCCATCTCACTATCTGTGTCGGGCCTTGGCACCTTTCAAAGGTCACATGACCACAGCAGGACAGTCTCCTCACCAGAGGCAGCCACTCCTCGTCTGCGGAGAACTCTTGGCCTTCGATGTTGTACTGTACAAAAAAAAAAAGATACTAATAACTTCTCACACCCACAGAATGTCTGCTGATTGTTATTTTTCGTGTCACATCACGCTCATCAATTTTTAGAAAATGATTTCTGGCTATTTAGTAAAACTCTCTGTGATTCTGTTGTAAGAAACTGCAGTGAACTGAAATCGCAACAAGTATTTATGAATGGAAAATTAGCTTTTGGAAGATGCAATACCTATTTTAATGTTACATTTTTTTCATGCCTTTGTATTGTGCAATGTCATGGGTACTGATCAGTTTGAAGTATCAACCGTGATAAACAATGCTTTTTTAAAACCTGTTGTCAGTCTGCTTCTTTTCTCTTTTAAGAAGAATTGATGTCACCACTCAACTCAGTTTCCCTTCTCTATATCTGATTTTACTAACTCAACATTAAAATTAACTTTAAAATGTTTCAATAACAGGGTGTTCTGGTAGGCCATGGGTTCGAGTCCAACCTGTGGCATGTCATCCCCTCTTTCTGTCCTGTCTAAAGGGAGAAAAGGCCCAAAATATATGTGTTCTTAAAAATGTCCATAAACACTTATATATATATATAATCTCACTTATATATACAGCATCTCAGACCAAAATGAAACTCCCAAAAATTCTTTGTCAAAAATAAAAAAATAATTGTTATGACACATTCAGAATCAATACTGCTCCTTTATATATATTTATATATAT